CGCGGTAATTACTCATATCGAATATCAACTGCACAAAATTCGGCCCGGTAAGGAGCGAAAAGCCCAGCGCCCGCTGCACAAAAAGCGAAAAATATTAATTATTAAAACCCGATGCACCGTCCAACTTCCCCGTGTCGAAGGAAAACGCAATATCAACCTCTGGGCGTTGCCAAATTTCCCTTGATAATGTCAACATTTTCTGGGAAATTTTTGAGTTTTTACCAGAGACAAGAGACCCTCCACTCGTATCTTGGCTATGGTGGAGGCTTTTACTTTCGGGACTTCAACATTAAACTGTTGACTTACCTACATGGTTGATGTTCAACAACGTGTTGGCAGTTCCATTTTGCAAACAAGCCGAAGCTTGAGAAACATGTATGGCTCATGGCGTCACCCGAAGCTCATCATCCACCATATAGGTAGGTCAGTAGCCGAAAAAAGAGTGATAACTGGTGCTCCCCTATAATTTTCCACCAGGAACTGTTGAATTTCCAAAAGTAAAAGCTTCCACCTGTCCCCAAGAGGCCAGTGGAGGGTCTCTTGTCTCTGATATTTGCCCTCCAATTTTTCATAATTTTTAATTTTCACTTTAATCTACAGTATCTAAAAATTTCTAGGATGATAATTGAGGGACTTAGAAAACAAGGCGTATATGTACAGTTTTTGCAATTTCGAGAAATACGCGTTTGGAGTTACGAAATTACGTGGATCCTAATAGCGGAAAGAAAGTTCAAACTGATTTTTTGATGCTTAAAAATTGGAATTTGGAAGCGATTTTTTCACAGAATATGTATTAGGACTAGTTTCACTTGAAATCATTAAAAATTCAACATTTTCGATAACCGCACCTATGCGCCTTGTCCTCCAAGCCTCTTTATTCATAACTGGACCGCCGTAAGCAGAAAGGGACCAAGTCGCATCAGTATTGCAAACTTTAATTGGGCAATTTTATTTTTTACATGAAAACGGTTGTGCGGATTTTTTGTGCAAATTTCAGTGGATTTTCTGCATCAAGCAAAGCAAATTCCTCAACATTTTCAAAGGAATCCGCACAAGCGTTCTCTTGTAAAAAACTGCATTGTTCAGTTAAATTTGGCAACAGCTGATGTGGCTTGGTTCCTTTCTACTTAACTCGGTCCAACTTTCCTTGAAAATAAAAATTTGACAAAAAGACACTCGGCAACATTTGAATGTTCATAAGTTGTTTTTCCTCAGCCCGGCAGGGCTCATTGGGGGAAATGAAACTCGGGTATATGAATGAGAGGGAAAAAAGGTTGAATGAGCTTTGGCGGCGGCGGGGGTGCGAAGCGCGGGTAGATGGCGCCACCGGACGGTGAAACAAAGCGGCCTGTAATTATTAGGAATCGGGGTGAGCTTTGGAAAGCGAGCTTCGAGGAAGCTCCCAAAGATACCGTTAGCTGCCGGGCGGAGGGGCTCGTGGAAAGCTCTCGCAGGGGCGTTTCTTCACCGCGCGCGTCCGTTTACACATGCGCCGCGCGTGGCGACGCATTATCTTGCTCGGCGTGCGTCTTACGGCCGCCGCGTCTTAGTGCTTTTTTCACACTTGCAATATGCATCGCGGACTTAGTTGAGTTTTCGCCGCGGGTTCGCTTGGACTCTCCCAACGAGGTGTCCGTCGACCTCTTCTCTCCGGCTCGCCCGCGTAACCTCTCACAACAATCTATCTCGTTTTTATTTTTACTCTTTTTTTATTTTTTTTTAATCTTCACGGTTTTTTTGTGATCAAGGAAATTGGTGACAAGACTTGGTGACTTTTGTGCGTTACGTGTTCAAAACCGATTTTTTTTTAAAACGGTGTTTTTATCCGGGAAAATTGCGTGTTGTTGTTGACACATACTTTAATCGACGTGGAGTCTCTCATGACTTGAAGTTTCATGTGCGCTGAGAGCCCCCTCGGGAAACTCGGATTTTCGCCGGAAAATTGACAGCCATCAGGTACCAACAAAATTAAAAATTCACGACTTGTATTTTGTGTTTTTTGTTCGATTTTTCTTCGTTATTGTGAACCAAATTTGACGTCGTTAATTAATCTTTTGAATTCTTGAACAAGTCGACAAAAAAAATTATCTTGCGGTCATTGCTCTTCTCCACCCCTGCCGTAGTTTAAAGGGGGCAAACAACCCATATCCATACTGAGCAAACAGCGTGTAAGATATATGGTCCGTGGCGGCGACACACCAGGTGCACTGCAAACACGTTCCGAGTCTTAAATAACTAACTAGTTTTATTCCTCTTCTTCTTTTTATTTTTTCTGCGAAGGGTTGAGCCCACCTCCCCGTCCAGCGGTCGTAGAAACCAGTTTTGCCGGTAGATTTGGTCCACTCAGCTGCCGAGCTCTGCTTCATCTCAGTGTTTGAAATCCTCTGACTGTGATTGTGCCTCGTGTTGACTCCGCTTTTTTTGACTCCACTGATTTAAAAAAAATAAAATAAAAAATTGTTTTAAAGTCTTAAATCATTGAGTATCCTTGCAGAATAGAAATATATGAAGTGGTGATTAGTGTTCGATTCTTATTGGATTAGTGATGCTTCACCTACGTTATGGAAATTCCACAGTATTAGTTCTTTCGGATCACTAAAATTAAAATGTGTCATTTTTAATTCTCTTCGCGTGCCATGGACCTAATTAAATGCGATTGATTGATAGAAATAAATAAATTTTTAAATTAAAATATTATGAAAATTATTCGGACGTCCTAAATTTTAAATGCTTTGGCGAGTTTAAAGAATAAGCAATCAATAAATTATTTTGAAAATAAAAAATAAACAATGAAGTATATCCTCTGAATTATTGCATAGTTTAACCTTGAAAATTTGCATGAAAATGAAGTTATTAATTACTTTAATAACTATAGTCTTCACTTTTAACCTCACGAGTATCACTTGCTTTCAAAAATTTTCCTTATTTTATAAAAATAAAATTGCAATGCGACATGCGATTATTCAACTTCGGTGTACAGTTTTCACACAAGATCAGCGTACCGTCAATTGTAGTGAAACATCCGAAACGTGCGATATCATACACATTAATAATAAATAGGAAGTCTAAGTTGATTCCCCGATGCCCAAAGCATAACTGCTTCATTCTGTTTTACAACATTCTTCGTCTAAATAATGACAAAAGTTTAACCAAAAAGTTATAAACATACAAAAAATATAATGTATTAGGAGCCTTTTGGGTAATTCAAGTAAAATTCCGCAGGGTGGAGAGAAGGAAATGAAGGAAATACGTAATAATTTTTTTTTTTTTTTTTTTTTTTTTTTTTTCCATATTATTTCGATTTTGGATAGACCGTGTTTTAGAGGAGGAAACCTTGCCCTCTAGTTTCACAACACAACATTTTCAATAAAAATGTAACAATCTGACTAACACAGATACAACATTTTCAGCATGTATCACGATATATTTTTGGATTTCCTCTCATTTCTTGAGCGCAAAAATATTAATCCAAAACATTTGGAAATAACATTATGGACCCGTTTTACTAACACGATGCTCCAATGCATGCAGAAAACAGTTTGTGTTATTGCTTTTCATGTTCCTGCTCCTCTTTACTTGAATTTATTTTTTGAAGTTTCTCTTTCAAATGCTTTGTAATAGTCTGAAAGTCAATATTCATCGACAGATAACATTTAAAAACTATTTCTAGCGGTCATAATTATTCTTATTCTTGATTGACGTCGTAAGTGATAGCTACTGAGTCGTGCATCTACGCCCCCTATCATGCGATACTGGACAAGAAATTCTATGACACTGGATACTGAGTGCGTAATGAATCTTATCTAAACGGAAATAGTTGAACCGTTATATTTTACGCTGAACCACAGCATCATGCTCAAAGCTTATGCCTGACACCTCATTTCGACAATATCCTTCGATTTTTTAAATTGCTCTTGATTATTTTGTTTACGATAGAAGATTTATTTCCCATCCTCATAGTAATCAGCGGCCTGGTCGGAATGTATCAGATAAAATGACCCAGTCGACTTTCTTTTTGGCAATTTTTTATCATTCGCACCCAGCTCCATTTTCTTTACAACATCAGCAAGAAGTGTCGAGTGTCTTAATTAAGCAAGAGAAGAAAAGAAAAGAAATTATCCTGATCCTGCTTTTAGCGCTAGGAGCACTTTTCCTAATTTTCCTACCTCAGCAAAATCCAAGACTTTCCCCCCTCACTGGGGAAGGTTTTTGAGGAAGAGTGTCGATAAGGAAACTGCTTTCATAGCGTCGATCCAATGTCCTCTCTAAAAACGAGTCGGTGTTTACGGAACACTCAAGCGCGACGATGGCTCTGCCCCTCTCTTTCTTCGCGGAGAAAATATTGGCACGGTTTTTTAATAAAACACTCTGCGTGAGTGAGGTCACTTAAAGCTCAAAGACTGTCTCGAGCGAGAGCGCAAGGGTTGACTACTCGAAAGCTTTTCCTTGTTTTTTAATACATTTGATGGGTTAACCAAAAGGTGGGCGGGCGTATTAATTTCTGGGGTGTTATCTTGGAATGCGAAATTGAAAGAAGACTCGAAAGCAGGCGGCGAGGAGCAAGTTGAAGGACCGAGATCGCAGATATAAGATGTTGGCGAGACAGTCGCTTCAGGGATGAGCGGAGTGGGCCCGGCTCGGAAGATGGACTGAAAAGCAACGGAGAAAGGAGGAAACAAAAAGGACGCGAGTAAGAAAATCGCTCCTTCATGAATAAGGAAACTCTCTCTCCCCTCCGCGCGGAGTTTCCCTCTTAGCGACCCCCACTCCGGCGCGCTGCGGGGTGGAAGGCGGAGTTCCGCGAAAAGGGAAAAGGGGAAGAATGAAAAAAGGCCGAAGGAGAAAGCTGGAGAAGGAAAGAGGGGAACTTTTGAGAGCGGCGGCATGGCGCAAGTCTCTTCCTCTTTCCCGCTCGCTCTTCGGGCTTTTTCACTCTTTTCATTTTTTATTTTTGCCTACCTTTTCCGGGATCGCGGAAATCTCTGGCCCCGCGTCCACTCAGGATGCAGTCGTAATTCCGTCGCGCAATGATTAAGAGTATTTATCCAACCATGTTCCTAATTTACCAAACATCTTTCAACTTTCACGAACCTTCGGCCTCGAGTTAGGATTTTACTTACACCTAGTGCTCCATCGGTGATTGCCCACGACCTTAGCTTAATTTTTCCCGTAGATCACAATTTTAAGGTAAAAATTCCGACTGTAACCTGATAACTTGGATTTTGCTCGCTCGCATGCTTATACAGCCATTTGTTTACATGCGTGTTTCTGTTTTCTCTCAGCCGGTTCCTTGCAATTCACTTGTAAAACTGTGCTCTTGTGCCGCAATAAGATTGCAACGACGACTTGCGATGTATTTTACCTCTTCGTTTTAACATGTATCATATGGAAAGTGTTTGTGTGCTCCGTCTCATGGATTAGACTGTGCTCACCTTATTGGACTAATTTTGGACAAGCCCCATGAATACTTCGTGCCTCCCACTTAGTGGAAGAATTTTCGAAGGATAAGCTTACGAGGTAAACATTTGATGAATTTAGGTTTAAAAATGTGCCGGACTTGGGGAAAAAACACTTATCAGTGTTGACACCATACGCCCAAATATCAATAATATTTGATTCGTATCTTCTGTTTTTTATTTCATTGAAACCCGCCGGTGAATGTTTCAAAAAATATGATGCGCCAGGATTAAGTTAGTTACTTAATTATTATTGTTTAGGGACATTCAGCTACTGAAGCTATTGATGTCTCGAGTCACTAAAGAATGAAGTGTTCAATTTTTCCGCTTCGTCGAAAATTTTAGGCAGGCTATGTAAACAAAACGACGATGGATTGACAAACTCTTCAAAAATATAAATACTGAATTTTATTTTATTCCTGATACTGCATCTTTGGCCAAAAAATACTTATTATTATATCACATCTTTGGAAGCGAACTCATCCCAAAAATTACTTTATTAAATTTAAACATGCATCTACTTATCATTTACATATTTACTTATTACTGATCTTGCGGCAGGCTAAAAATAGATCTTCAAATGACATGTATTTACACATTTATATGTTATTTTCGTTGATTATCACGATACGCCAATCTATTGCGTTAGATATAAACTGTGGAACATTAAGAATTAAACCAGAGCTTTTCACATTTATAGATTCAAGTTATTTACATTTTTCTTAATACCAGGTTAGGATGATGATGAGTTAACTTGAACCACAAAAAGTATCGCTTAATTTAGTGAAATGGCTTGTTTCTGTGGTTTAATCAATCTCAAGCAAAAGATGTTGGAAAATCAATAATTTCTAGACATAAGAAACTTCTAATTTACCCATGCTACAATAAAAATCCAAGCGTAAACCTTAAAAAACCCCGCCGAATGTGTCACAGAAAATTCAAGATTTAAATAAAACACCTGTAAACAATGGGCAGCCTTTGAAGAGGATACATATTAAATATTATCGTTCAATCGTACTATTAAACCAATGTTTGCATGGCTAAATGATAACACACCTCCGTGGTGGAAAAAGCCTTTCGTCAAAAGTTGTCAGTGCTTAAATAGTAACCAGAAAATCCTATATCTTGATTTGCAACGATGCAAACTTTGTGTGAAATTTAATTCAATCGACCGTTTTTACTTTTGTAGATTTCCAGTTTTTTATTTGCCTATTCAGATAACTTAAAGATTTTTTTTAAAAATAATCTTAGTAGGACCGTAAAATTTGAAACACTGCAATTGAATTATGAAATGATCTCTAATATCACCATAAAATTAATATTCATAACATCAGAGAAGTCATACGACCGAAAACAATTGGACGTAAAGCGTGTAAATTTCATTAAGTTAGGAGAGAAAAGAGAAACTAGCATCGGTTACATTTCACCAGATATTTTATACGATGATTGCATAGGTGGAAAAACTAGTCTTAACGGGATGTTTTGTAGGACTTATACTGCAATTTATCATCAGCGGAAACCCCTTCTCTTCCCCCACCTTGCCCCCTATTCATTCCATCGTTCATGGCTGACGCACTCCGGATTATTTCGTAATATATGAACTTTTACTAAGGTGAGGGGGGGGGGGGGGTAATTTAATTAAGGCGCCAACATAGCACAATACATCGACAAGTCTGCACAGGTACTGAATAAGGGTTCCTGTTCCGAAATAGTACTGTTCTCAAGAAAAACATATTTCAAGACGCGTGATTATCACTTTGCCACTTTTTATTGCGTTTGGCATCGGAACTCCTTATAATCTTCTCTTTCTCTCATGAGGCTGAGAAGGAGTACGTTCCTGATTGATAATATTGGAGGTTGCTGAAAAAAAGGGTTTCATGGAAGGATGAAAGAGTTCTTCATAGAACAAATAATATTCAAATTCCAACACGATTTTTCTCGAAATCTACTCTGAGCATAAGGATCATGACTACCATATTGTGACATGCATTTTGCTAATGTGATCAAATTTGACTGTACACTTAGTTTATATGTAGGAGAATAGAGTATTTCTTAAGAGGTTGTCTCTTCCGATTTTATATTGGAATCCAGAATACTATTTTCCATTTTAGTATCATTCCATAATGTTTTATTATACGTACTGATATCCATAATTTAACTGCCTACCTCATCAGCATTGCTCGAATTTGTATTAGGATTTCCTTTGAAATTAGAAAAAAGCACTCGTACACACTCAAAAGGCATGCACTCGTGTCTGGCCTGATAAATAGTGTAACCGCATTTATATTAAGCCGGTAAGTTTCTTGTTATGAAACAACCGATTGCCATCTAATAATTTTATTTTACTAAAGGTATTTTGAAGTAAAAAAAATTTCCATTTACGTGTGAAGTATCAAAATAAAATATGAAATAAACAGCCTCTAAGTGTGTTTTTAAGGGTGTATTGGATTGCTTAAAAGTAATAGGGGCATCATGTTAAATACAAACGTAGGTCGAGGCTAGCCAAAAAAATTCAACGTTTCATTATAAACCATTGGAAATTGTCTCTTCTTCTATTTCCGTTTTGAAATTTTCGCGAATCATTTGTCTTAAAAAAATTTATATTCATTAATCAACGTCAAACGAACTTTATTTAACCTCTTTATTTTCAACTGATTAGCCAGATTAGTGATCAAAAAATCGTCTTAAGAAATGAGAGATAATTTTCGCACCTTCTGGAGCGCCTACATAAATTTTAGTACCTTCACTGATGGATGTAGGTATACATAGCTCTTAAAATTAAGAATAACCTTAAGAACTTTCAGGAGAATCAATTTTAATCCTTATTTTTCCTGGATAATTTAGAGTTATCTCAATTTTAAAAAGAGGCGCATTTAAAAATTAATCATACGTATATACGACCAACGTCAACGTTTGGTCTCGTTTTTTACGAAGTCACGCATGTATCACACAGGAAACTTCCTTTCAGAAAATATGAATTTCTTACGTCAAATAAGATTAGAATGAGGAAAAATACAGATAAATTAATTCTCTGTAAACTTCAGCTCCATCCATCGCATGGTCAATCCTGAATAAAAAATTATGAAGATAGACAGCTGTATACGGGCGTACAGAGTTAGTTAGTTAGTTAGTTATTTTATTTATAGACATTCAGCATCCTAGGCTGTTACAGAGGGATTCCATTGAAACATTGATTATTTACGTTCGTCCGTTTTTACGCTAAAATGTATTATTGTGGTTCCCTTACTTATTTATTTATTTATTTTTTATCAAATATTTTCAAGAGAAAACTGACGGAAATGTCTCTTTTAAATTTTCTGGAAATATGTTTGAATAATTTCGGAAAATCCACAATAAAATTATAGAGAAACCAAATTTTAGGCGCCCACTACAATCAGAAAACATGAAAAAAGATTTGCAACGTCGAAATCAGTTGAAAAAACAGGCTGATTCACACTTGATGTGACCATAGGGATTTTAATCAAAACAAGAAGCGGTTTTATCAAATTTGTTTGGAACAGTAACATAACTTCTAAACCACCAAATCGGCATTTATCGATATCAGAACAGACCTATATATTTCTGCGATTTGAATCTGAATCAGTCAATTGGACTTATTTCTCCCAAACGGAACTATATGCATTATGGCGTGAGCCATGTTATGCATATATTCTAATGGATCTCAGGGCTCATGTCTTAATGCACATAGTTCTGTTTGGAAGAATTACGTCCAATTTGTTTCTGCACTTTCCCTCTTGGGCACTGGAGTACACCCGTTTTCATAAAAAACATATCGTCACCTTCCAGGCAAAGTATCACAAGCGCCATGCGACGTTTAAAAATTTCCGCCGCCATTTTATTTCTTTACTGAGAAATTGTTGGTTGAATCTGTTTGGAAATTTCACTAAATTTTATCAGCAGCACAAAGAAAATTCAGTGAAATTTTCGGACAGCTTCGTTGAACAATTTCTCTGTAAAAAAATAAAATGGCGGCGGAAATTTTTAAACGTCGCATGGCGCTTGTGATACTTTGCCTGGAAGGTGACGATATATGGACTACTTTTTGCGTGCAACGTTATCCGTCTGCAGCGGTCCAGCCAACCCCACACAACGAACCTGAATCGTGACAGTGGCGAGGCGCGAGTAATCGATTTTGCCTATTTAAAGCTATGGCACAGAATCGATTATTAAGGTATACCCCTATAATCGATCCTTTCCCATTGGTTCAAATGGCAGATAAACGATTCCTCGCGAAGCACGCTACGCCACCGAGTCGTGGACCGGGACCGGGGTGGGCCAGTCTCAGACCGCGAGTCCTGGCGATCTTTTGACCCTTACAAAAAACCGGACCAAACGATGCTGCGGTAAAAGATATCTGCAGCGTTGCCAAACGATTTGAAAATATTTAAATTTTCTGGTAACAAAATTCTATCGTGCATTAATCGTGTCATTCCCTCCAATCTTGAGACATCGCTGTCGTCTCGATTATTCTCCGACCTTCGCGATGAAACGTCTTGGTGTTTAAGACATCATCCCGTGTCTGAATGGCTTTTGGTTGTCCCTTCTTCCTTCCGAGCAAGAGGAGGGAATTCCAAACCTGTTTTGCAGGCTCCCATCTTCGAGACGGGCACAGTTAGGATCGAGGCTCTATTGAATTTTTTGTTTTGTTTTTTTATTCGTGATTTCAAGCTCTTCCCTGAAATTTGGCAGGAATTTACATAAGTAATATGGAAGAGGTTGTAACCGAGTTTTTCGAGGTAGTAAAGCAGTGGCAAAACCTTGATGCGATGGATGGATACAAAGAAAAATTGCGCATAAACATCGCAAAAAAATTTAAAAGAACTAGGCTTTGGTAGCAGAATGTTCGTGGTGTTAAAATGAGTCGTCACATAAAACCCATGTAGCAGACAACCAAACAGCTCAGGAAATACGGCACCTACTAATTTCCTCCGGTATCACTAAAAAATCCTTAAAATGTATTCCAATTTCTTTGTGTGCAGTATTGCTGGTTGGCGAAACGTTGATGGAGATTTGGGCATTTCCTCGGAAATTTTCAAACCA